TCCAGCTGTGTTTTTAGCCTTTCACATTCTAACTCATACTGGAGATCCAACAAAAGGGTAAATGCTTTGTGTGTCTGCTCAATTTTCTATTCAATATACACAAGAATAAGCGTTAAAAAAAATAAAAAATACCTTAAGCATCTGATTGCTTAACTTTAATATCTCTTGTTCCAACACTTCAGCATGAGATCCCTACAAAAATTACTAATGTTAGTATCGTCCCCATTCCTAGATGTAACTGAAATAAAAAATTGATTATACCTGAAGCTTCATACGTAGCTCTTCTATCTCTAACTTTTGGCGCTTCAACAAAGCAGCATCAGTCAAGATCTGAAGTATTCAAACACTGTCAGATTTATTCCGATAAAGAGGAAGAAAACCAGACATATGTAGCCAATACATGGAACATTAAGATAAGAAAAAAAGAGAGTAATATGCCTTCAAAGAACCAACAGAATTCAAAAGCTAAAAAATTCACATCCAGACCTCATTCACTTGAGCACAGTTGGTGATGCGCTTGGCTCTGCTTGCGAATTGGAGAGTTCCTTTTGATTCCTCAATATGATGCTACATACACCATCATGTACTTTTGATAAATAAACTGTCTAATCTTGCGCTCCGGATGATTATTAAAAGCCAAGAAACAGCAAAACCTGAGTACAAAGTAACTTTTATTACCTCTTCTGGTGCGATAGTGCATATAATGCAAGTCTTCGCATTACCACCAAGCGCTGGCTGAAGAATTCGAGTCAGCTTACTATCTCGGTACGGAATATGTGCCCTATAATCAAGAATGTAATAAATGAGCTGAGCTGTATTGTTGTTATGTGAAACGAAATCAAGGGTAAGAAAATACCTTAGCTTTGCACTGTCACTTAGTTTATTGATAACATTGCCAAGAATCATTAAGCTCTTATTAATGTACTTCCCTTCCTTCAAGCGTACTCCACCAGCACCGGTTTTAGCAATACGCTCAGATCCAGCCAAGTCAACCAAATTCTATACTCCATTAAAATAACACCCATAAGAAAATTTAAAACAGCTTTTTACATAATGTAACTTTCACAAGAAACTTTTGAAAGATATTAGCCGTAGTGAAAATTATCACTCACCAAGACTGACACACGGATAGCATCCGTAGAACTGTTTTCTTTTCCCCTGCTCTCGATCACCTATCCCACCAGAGAGATTGTATCAGAATATATACTTAAATACAGTAGAAGGCTCCGCTAATAGCTTCTGATGCATACCATTCTGAAGATGGTATGGGACCTGCTGCTGTGAACGTTCATGTTTGTCTCACCAAAGTGCCTATTACCTATTAATCGAAGAGGACCATGTCAACAAACTTTATATAAACCAAAATGCAGGAAAACAAAATACTTCTTAGTTTAGCTTTAGCTTAAAACCTTCTCCAGAATCTATTAGCTTTAGAATCTGTTC